TGGAATAAACTGTTTGGCTTTTCCTAGGAATGCTTCTCAAAAACCTGAAGCATAATGGGAAGCAGGTACTCTAACATTCTGAGTGTTCTCAGATTTCCATTCTGTGTAGCACTTTTTCTCCTAACTAAATGCCAAACTGTCCAAACTCTTTATTGCTGACTAACAGCGCAGAATCTGGAAACTTTGTGTAGTTTCCAGTGTTGGCTTCACTCAACCATTCACATAGTTTTTCCAAGATTATACTCTTTCTAGTTCGTAGATATGTAAAAGACACACAGGAAATTTCAATAAATTGTTTTAGAAGAAGTGACCACACCTTGATTTGTGAATCTGATTCTTAAATAATTAAAACAAAAAGTCTTGCTTTGTTATAGGCATGCACTGTCCAATCTGTTTGGTGATGCCTTTTCCAAAAGGGATCTGCAAAAATAGCCTTGCCATGTGTCATTGAAATCTTGAAAGAAAAATGAGAGTATGTTGTACGATGTGTGTATAGTAGGACTACACAGCGTAGAGTAACATGAATTAAATATTGGTCATAAGAACATGACAAGCTTCCTTATGCCAGGTCAAACTGTTGTTAGTAATGTCTGCTGTGGTTGATAACAGCTCTCCAGGCCCTTTCCATCATTTTTATTGCCGATCTCTGGATTGCAACTGGGACCTTGAGCCTGTGCATGCTGTGCCTTACCACCGATGGTGTGCCCTACCAATGATAAAGTTGTTCTCACATCTTCAAACAGCATCTTTCAGGGCCATGTCACAGATTATGTAGTGGCAAAAAAGCAGTGATTTTCCTTTAAAACTTTCAAGAAAAATCATGCTTCTGGAAATATGAATTTGTCTGAAAATTCTTCCCATGCCCTTGGTTTCAAAAGACAATTTTCCTTATCTTAACAACAACATGCAATGATACAATGGTAAGTGCCATCAAGTCATCTCTGAACTATGGCAACCCCATAAATGAATGCCTTTGGAAATCATAGAATCATAGAAGAGTAAATTGGAAGGGACCAAGAAGGCCATTGGGTCCAACCTCTGCTCAGTGCAGGTCTTCAGGTTAAATCATTCCTCTCAGAGGGCTGTCCAACTGCATCTTGAATGCCTCTAGTGTGGGAGAACACACAACCTCTATTGCTTCTATTGCTGAACTGTTCTAACAGTCAGGAGGTTCTTCCTGATGTTCAACCAGAATCTGGCTTCCTGTCACTTAAGCCTGTTCTACACAAGTGGTATGATGGAGAAGAGATTCTGCCCTTCCTCTGTGTGACAACATTTCAAGTACTTGAAGAGTGCTATCATATCTCCTCTCCTTGACTGTTCTGCTCAACTCTTGTAAACTCAAGGCTATGACTTTCTTTATGGAATCAATCCATCTCATATCTAGTCTTCCCCTTCTTCTGTTATCATCTTCCCTAAGATTGTTGTTTTCTCCAGTGTGTCCAAAGAATATTTACTTTAGTTTTGTCATTTTTAATTCTAAGGCAAGTTCTGACTTGATTTGATCTAGGTCCCACTTCTGCATCTTTTTGTCAGTCCAGGATATTCGCAAAGCTGTTCTCCAGCATCATGGTTTGAATGCATCAGTTTTCTTCCTGTCAGCTTTCCTCACTGTCCAGCTTTCACACCCATGCAGAGTGATCAGAAATACAATAGTGTGGACGATCTTGACCTTGGTTTCCACTGAAATGTCTTTATACTTGATCTTTTCTAGTTCCTTCATTGCTGCCCTTCCAAATCTCAGTCTTTTGATTTCTTGGCTGTAGTCTCCCTCTGAATTGATGACTGAGCCAAGGTCTGCAAAATCTTTCAGTTTCACTTTCTTAATTGTTGACATTAAAGTTGTGAAATTCCCCTGTAGTCAAGACTCATGATTCTGTAGCCATGATTTTCTTAATGTTGAGCTACAGCCCTGATTTTGCACTTTCTTCTTTCACTTTCATCCAGAGTTGTTTCAGTTCTTCACTGCTTTCTTCTTCTGCCATATGCATAGCTGTATCACAAGGGCAAATTTGGAGGTGCTGCAATGGTGGCAGGGGTTTGGGGGTGAGCAATGTAGCCCTCTGATCAGCAAAAGTTTCTGAACAGTGCAACCTTCTCCAGAAAGAATACGTACCACCTTCATATTTAGATGATCTGCTCACCTAAAGCACCTCAATTTTATTCTCACTGAATTTCAGTTCTATACAGTCACTGAACTCCAGTTTCCCTTTCTGTTTTTTACTGAAGTACATGGGTGTCCAAGTAGGCAGCATCATGGGCTACAAAAGGGAGCTCTCAGGGCATTTTCCTATCCCCATCCAGACCCCCCTCCCTTTCTCCTCTCGATACAAGTTACTTGTTCTCCAGAGCATGAGAAATTTGCATCAGATGGAGGGGAAGTACTAGAGCTGCCTGGAGACAGGCCCATGCACACTGGCAAACAGGGGAGGGTTAGGTAAGCAGAACTGTACTAAACCTGCAGGAAACTTCTGCACATGGATTTCCCCCTGTTTCATTGTTCTTTTATGATGCACTCATAATATGTATTTTTAGTGTACACGTGAATGCACCATGGTTGAAGAACACCTTTGATAAGAGTGGCTTACTTAGACAAACTGCCTGTCTAATCTAATCAAAGTGGCTGTAAGCAGAGCTGTATATGACCACAAAATTACCCATGCAAATCCTCTTTTGTGACCTCAAACAAACTTAATATTAGCAAAGCAGGTATGTCTATTATAAAGGATCAATCATTTACAGAGGTGGAGCCATTAATATGACACTGAAGCACATCATTTATTTATCTCTTATCTTAATATTTCTATCGTACTTATTCCCTTAGGGTCTTGGCAGTTTACACGAAATTAAAAACAACAGTGATTAAAATTGATTAAGACAACATGTTAAATAAAACTGACATGAGAACTAATTTGGGAAAGCTTGAAGAGATATGTTTTTAAATTCCTCTTAAAGGTGGGAATTTGGGAAATCAGATGCACCTTTCCAGGTGGATCATTCTACAGCTTAGAAGTAACCACTGAAAATGTATGTGTAAAGGCGCTCCTGAATATTTTAAGGACTGGGCAGACACACATGGGAAAAGGTTGTCTTTCAGGGCTGTTAAAAACTATTTGCCTGAAAGTACATTTCCCCTATCTGGCACCCTCCAGATGTGCTGGCTGGGAATAATGGGAGCTATAGTCCAATACACCTGGAAGATGCCAAATTAGGGAAATCTATGCATCTTTAGACAGTAAAAAGTTCTACAACTCTCAGCATTTCCCAACCAGGCATGTTTCTGTTTAAACATGTATAGGATTGTACCCTTAAGGAAAAATCATTTAAGCTCCAAACAAGTGAATTGAGCCTCAGAATGGATTCCTCCCAAGAGGTGGAGGAACCCTTTCCTGTTCCATTTTTATGTGCCTTCCTTTGAAGCAGGTCAGAGAAGGAGGGTTGCCTGCCCATGTCCAAATCAGCATTCAAGTGGCTGCAAGGGCTATGAATCCAAATTGTGTTCGATAATCCATGCAGAAGATCAGTGGTGGCACCAGTTTTTGGGGCACACTGGGGCAATGCATCCTCAGTGTGGGACCCTCCCTCAGTGAGCCTACCACCTCCCTCTATCATCACCAGCTGCTAGCCATGGCTTGCTTTCCTGACAAGCAGGGAGCCGCCTCTTTCTCCTCTCTATCCTTGGCTGGGCCAGAACAAGAGACAGGTGAACAAGCAGGTGGCAACTTTTCCCCTGTGTGCCTGCCCAGCCCTTACATCTGCTGAAGAGATGCTGTTTTTGAGACAGATACCATCAGAAGTGCATTAGCTGGTGGCTTGAAAGAGTGCCTGCTCCCAGGTGGAGGAATTCCCTCCCAAGGAGTAGGTGGGGCACTGTTATTTTCTGTTCTTTTTATATTTTGTTGCTTGAATGCATCATGTTGTTTTAATCAATTTTAAATTGCTCTGCAAGCTGCCTTGGTTATAATTTATGGTAGAAAGACTGGTAGAAAATCAGATAAATTCATAACAATATATGAATAAATAATGCATTACAAATGGAACCTGCAATAAAATGTCACAGCATGGAGGATGCTGTTGTTCAGGATACAGATGGAGACTGTATCCATCACTCTCATGCCCGGTTATCTGTCCTTCCTTCTCCAACAACCCCACACACCAGTCAGTATTCCATGCCCACTGAAGGACAGACCCAAGCTTCCTTCAGATGTGCCCACACACAGGTTTAGGAAGGAGGCAGTTCTTTGTCTCCGAAAGACAAGACTACGCCAGCGCCTGTTTACACTCCTGTAAAGTGTGATTAAAAGGGGTGTGTGGTGGTGGTGCCATTTCATTTACATAAGCCAAGGCACTCAGGGTCTGTTCATCAGAAACCAAGAGGAGCAGCTTTATGTGGGGGTCTGTATACTGATGGATGGACCAGGAGAAAGTGCAAATCAACAGAAAGGCTGCATCTGCAGACTCGTATTTTAGTATCAGCAGCCCTGGAAGTCACCTGCCTCCCATCTCTGTGTTTTTGCCATCTGATCTTGCTTACATTCAAGGCCAATCTTTTATATCTTGTCAAGAATTTTGCCCTTCCTTACTGACATGGCACGCAGGCAGTTGTTGTCACCACTGTTCATCCTTCTGTTGCACATCTGCAGTACCATTAGTACATACAACACTGGGAATGAAAGTGGCAATAATGACTATGAGCACTAGGTGTGCTTGTCTGGTGGCAAACCCCAGAGTGTAGGGTTGTCAGCACTATCTAAGGCTGCCTGAAGACTGCCAAGAGTTAATGGGAAGTATGTGTAATATGATCCCATAATAGTGGGCACCTAAACCAGAAAACCTGAAAGTTCAGACGAAGGAGAAAAACAACAATCTCATGGGAACAGGTACAGATGTAACAAGTGTCTCTCCTGGCATGTTCGGAATTGAATTTGTGTCTCTTCAGCACTTGTGTCTTACACACACTCCCCCTTATTCCTTTCCTTTTCTTTTATTTCTGAATGAAGATCCAGATTCCTTCTTAAAATCAGCTCGCCTTCAGCGCCTGCCTTCCTCTTCATCAGAAATGGGCAGTCAGGATGTTTCACCCCTTCGGGAGACCAGCAAGGATCCATTCTCGGGGGACTGTAGCTGTCGCCAGGATGGTCTAACTGTGATCATCACCGCTTGCCTAACATTCGCTACAGGAGTCACAGTGGCCTTAATAATGCAGATCTACTTTGGAGACCCCCAGGTAAGAACAGGTGTATGGTTATTTTTTTCTCTGTCAGGAAGATCACATGGAAATGGGAAAAACCTACCTTTCACATAGAACATTTTCTTCCTATTTTGTGTGTGGCAGCTAACTATATATTCCAGAAATAATTCTGTAATTGAAAGTATAGCAATTTAAACTGGATTGTTTATCCCCTGTGCCTGTGTGAGCTCAAAGAAAGTTTCGCAATACGGTTTCTCACAGATATTCCATCAGGGTGCCGTAGTCACTGATGCTGCCCGCTGTACCGCCCTGGGGATTGAGGTATTGAACAAGCAGGGCTCCTCTGTGGATGCAGCCATCACCTCAGCCCTATGCTCAGGAATTATCAACCCTCACACAGCTGGCATTGGCGGGTAAGTGCCTCCCCTGACTCCCTCGCTCTATACGTTGTTGTCTTGTTATGCTACAGAAAAACTGACCCAAAGGCTCATCCAAAAATAGAGTGGTATTTCTATTTTAGATGAATACCTAGGACTGTTATGGAAAGTCGTCCCCCCTCCCATATTTCACGGTGAAAGTATTCTTGCGGTTCTCACAAGAAACCTTTTCTTCTGGGACAGTCTAAAATGATATGAGGGTCCTAACATGTTCAGATGGCAAATCTAAATTTTGATGCCTATTGCTTGTGTGGTAGCCTGGAAGTTGCATGCATGTTGAAAACTTTCCCAAGACTGAGGGGCGGTTTGGCAGGCAGGGGAACAGAGCTACTGCACTGAAGTTGTGTAGATCTCTTCTGCATCTCTAGTAGCAGCATCTGTAGGATTGTATAAAGGAACCTATAATTATAGCTTAATGATAGGGCTCTCTTTAACCCATTCAGCTGTGTGATAAGTAATGCAAGCCTTCAGAGCTGGTTCCCAGAACCCCCTCTTAATGAGGAAATGTGAAGCTTCAAGCCTTTGGCTCCCTATATGGTCCTCAGAAATAAGATTCTTTCTTCCAGTGACTCGTACAGGCAGGGCCAGCTATGCACAGCTCCCACTGTTTGTTCCCACTATAGAAGAAATTGAGTGTTAGAAGCACCCTCTATACTGATTTCTAAAAGGAAACTACATGGTTTTATTTCTAGCTTGCTCAAGAATGTGTGAATCGACTAATTGTTCTGATATGGTATCACAAGCCTGCTTAGGTACACTGACTTTAAACAATGGTTTGGGATTCTGATGTATTGGATAACACCAGAAAATTGCTATCTATATTTCCTAGTGGTCTATTGATTGGAGGCAGACTTCTGTGAATGTAGAGATGACTTCAGATGTCACAACTGAGTGCTAAAAGGATAGACATGTGGGTGTCTCATCCATCTTCTTTAGAATGCTTCTGTGAGATGCGCTGAAAGGATGACCCAGTTGGCATCTCCCTATAGCACAAGCACAGTACTGTAGCACAAAACCAGGGACCCAGGTAATGTTCAAGAAACAAGCAGACTGGATAGAGAAATATCCCACTTGTTTGGAGGATGAGAGATGCAGCCAGCCCCCACCTGTAATGTGGTACATTTACATAGCACTGTCAAGGATGGCGTGGGTTTACATAACATTTGCATGCTACTTTATAGGTATAGATGAAAATATAGCAATTGTTACTGTCACTTAAATAAACATGCAAGGTATCTCACTATAGCAAGAAAGACTGTAACTCACCCTTACCCTACATGATAGGTGTTTTGGATGGCAATTCCCATCATCCCCAGTCATTGGTCAGAAAGGCTGGGAATTGCAATCCAAAACATTTGGAGGGCACCAGATTGGGGAAGGCTGCTATAATGAGCTGGAATGTGTGCTACCAAGGTGCTAAGTGTTTGACAGGTAACTTTAAGCTCGTTCTCTCTTCTTATGGTTCTATATTTTTAAACTGAATGTGGACTGCGACCATTCTATAGAGGACATCTCCAAAAAGATTACTATTCTTCTAATGTAGGACTCCTGGTCAGCCTACCCCAGAATTAAAGCTGGCTTTACATGTCCTAAGGCAAAGCGGGCAACATCTCGCCTTCGGATCTCCATATCTGTTGTGAAATTTAGGGACCGGTTTGGTTATGGAACTAGTGTTCATTGTGAGATTGTTCTAACAATGTCTCCATAAGCCAAGACAAATATTTGAATCTTTTCTTTGCCTCCAAAGAGGCATTTAAAATAGAATAAAACCATTCATTTTTATCCAAAAGACAAGCAGGTATCCTGGAATATTATATGGTCTGCTCACTTGGCCCTGATATGTATGTAAGATGGTAGTGTCTGTGTTCTAGAAGCCAGGCTCAACCACCAGTTTCACCAACCCTTGCCTTAAACCTGGCTTATTGCCCACAGTGGTTGCCTGCCTACAGCCATCAGAATATTTGTTTTAAATAGCCATTACACAAAAGGTATGTCAAGTTTTAGGTGAGCAGAACATGAGGAAGTTCTGGGCATGTTGCTTAAATAGTGTCACCCGATAACAGCCCATCAGATGGGATTTCAGAAAACTTTTGTTGGAACTGGAAACTCTAGTCTGGTACCAAGCTGCTTATCCAAAATTCATATTTAGGACTGAAACAACAACAACACAATGAAAGGCTAGCTGAGATTAATCTAACAGCACAGAGATGCTTTGTTTTATATGAGGATTAAAGTGTTAGGTATGCACCTAAGGTTTAACGAGAGAGAGAGAGAGAGAGAGAGAGAGAGAGAGAGAATGAGAGAGAGAGATTAGGCATGCTTCTCAGTTCCCCTGATGAATGTCTGACCTGTATAAAAACTGCCAGAAGGGAGATCTTGTAAGTGGACTGAAGCATTGTACTGAGCAAGCTTCCTCCACACACCTTGAGGGTGGCAAGTTGAGGGCTGGCATAGAGTCTTGTGGCATCGCGGACTCTTGTGTTCATGACTGGTGATGCCATAACACCTGGTTACTCTTCCAGGTCCCGCATGATTCTTTGTTGTTAGGATTCTGTAGGGAACTACGGCAGCATTTGAAATATTTTCATTCGTGCCTCTCTGCACCATTCATGCCAGGTTGAGCATCTCTGATTTAGGCCTTCCAGAAGTTAACCTTGCTTAGTTCTGGTGTAAGAAATATGGCTGTTCTTGGACTGCAACTCTCCATCCACTATACCTGGCTAGGGTTGATGGAGGCAAGCCCAACAACATCTGGAGGTCCATCTGTTCTCTGCTGCTGAGATACAGGAAGTGACATTATTTGTCCATCTCAGCAGCTGCCCAGGGTTTCAGTCACAAATCCTCCACATCACTGGCTACCTGATTCACTAGTAGCTTCACCTAGTGATGTTACTGGATTATCACAGTTTTAGTGGCCATGCTAAGTCCAAAACAGCTGCAGAGGACTGTTTTTTTCAGGTCTGCTTACAGGCTTCTCAGAAGATTATCACTGGCTACTGTGGGAAGCAGGCTGCCGGCCAAGAAACACTTTAGGTTTGAACTAGGGGAGAGCTTTTCTTATATGCTTAACATGTGGAAGAAAGAAATAATGACTTCACAACAGATCAATGGGAGCACTCCATGGAATGTGCTACTACAAGATGGAGTGATGGCTGCCAACTTGGTCAGTTTTAAAAGGGAATTACACTCATTCATGAGGGATAAGGCCGTCAGTGACCACTAATCATTTAACCTCCAGTATGAGAGGCAGAATGCCTCTGAATACCAGTTGTTGGGCAGTAGGATCAGGAGGGTGCTTTTGTGCTCATGTGCTGGCCATGGGCTTCCCATATGCATCTTTTTGGCCACTAAATAAAATGCTGGACTAGACAGACTTTGCATCTGATCTGACAGGACCCTTTCTATATTCTGAATGGCCCATATTTTTGCTTTTAAGGAGAAAATCAACAAATTTCTGTGCATGGCTCTTTCACTGCTGACTGCCTCTTGTCTTGTCAGGAATTTTGGGATGCAGATTCTGTGCCTCAGCATACCAATCTAGAATGTAATTAATTAATTACTATACCATCCAATAGCTGAACCTCTCTGAGTGGTTTACAACACCTTAAATGTAGTATAAAACACATTACATTATAAAACCTCACCAAAAGGTTGCTATACAAAATTCAAAACCAAATCTTGTAATAGCTTTGCTTTCTAACAACAGAACTACATGGGCCAATGCTTGATAAGAAAAGTACACTGCACATGCCCGGGGAGGCAGAGGGCAAACAAACTTTCATCTGATTCTAAGTGGTGCCATGTCAAAGATGGGATCTTCAGATTTCAGGGTTCAGCATTAGCAAGCCCCTTCCAAAATTAATGTCCGAGAGCAAAGGCACTTTCTCAGGCTGTTGCTGAGACAGGGCAGGCTTCATGGGTGAGGCATAAACAGAGTAATAGTTTACTCAGGATGACACATGGCCGGTCACAAACAGGGTGTTCTGTTTTGAGAAGGAAGATGAGCATATGTTGCACTGATTTATGCCTTGGTTATGCAACGAGCGATGACACAAATATATACTGCTGCAGGGAAGGGGCAGACCATTCCAAAGAGCAAAGTTCTTTGATTAGCGTTTTATGGCAGAGCTGCAGCTGGTGCTCTCAAGGACTTGCTGCCAGTTACAAAGGTTTAAAAACCAAAGCAGTGATTCTCACCATCAGGTGCACAGAAAGCAGTGGTGTTGGGGTATATTTTGAGGTACAGGTGCTCATCATGATAGTCCCAACAGCCATGCCTCCAAGCGGAGTTCAAAACACAGGCAACTGTGCTGATGCATATCAACACACCAGTTGTCATAGTTTTCATCCGACCAGAATCAAGTCTTTTGCCAAGCTAACGGGTGCAGTCGCCCATTCAACACCAAGCTATTCCAAAATAACTTGCATTACAACAAGAAACTATACAGTGTTGCTGGGAAAATCCATTTCCCCCAGCTACTGCGAATTTTTGCAGCTCAGTTCAGAAAGAGAGTTTGAGGAGCTGGGGTGGTAGATGGCATCAGCATCCCTGCTAACAAAGCAGTGCAGGCACCACATCCCTGTGAGCCCGGGCTCCACTCTTCCACTGCTGGAAAGGGAGGAAGGGGAGAGAGCATGTCATGTGCCTGAATCAGAATGCAGGGGGCTGCCCCTTTCCAGATGAGCCGCTGCTGGGCTGGCTCAGGCAGACCTGCTGCAGTCACTGCCTCTGGGTCCTGAAGGAAATCAGCTGCCATTCTCAGTCCTGAGAAAAGGGGAAGATACCTTGCTAGGGACAAGAGAACACAGAAGTGCATATCATTTGCAAATCTAATTGCTAGGTATTTATGCAAACATAGAAATAATTAGTATCTTTCCATTTTAATGGACAGAGGCTATAATGAGCTGACCTGTGTTCTGCCCAGGTGCTAAGTATTTGACAGGTAACTTTAAGATTATTCTCCCTTCTTATGGTTCTCCCTTCACCCACAAAACATTGTTTTTCCTTTGAAGCATCTCTTCACACCCCAGGCAGTAACAATACAATAACAAATGAAATAAGTAACAATTGCCAGCTGGTGACACCCAATGATGTGATCTCATATTCTCCAACTGAATGATAAAGTCTAGACAAGTTCATCAGATTTTATCAGACATATTTTATTGAAAGAAATGAAGTCAATATATATTTTTCTCTCCTTTTTTAATAAACTGAGGTTGGGGCTGAGTGGGGTTTGTCCTGGGTGAAGAACTAAGTCATACAGCATAATCCAGCAGCCACTGCCTTCTCATTAGCACAGTAACATTAGCTGCGATTACTCACCCCATCTCTCATCTTTGCTACCACTAACTTCCTTCATAAGCAGAGAGCCAGCGAGCAAACAAGCAACAGTATCTTTTGTTTCTCCTTTTCACTACCAGCATTTTTTGGCCCAGAGTGAGAAGCAATTGAAACTGCAGGCTGCAATAGCAAAAAGGAGGAACAACCCTAGAGAGCTCTTGCCAGTGGACTCTGCTGGGGCGTGGGCCCTTCGCAGGTGCCTAGCCAAGCTCACCTGGCCAGGTGAGATGAGGGGTTTAGAAAATGAAGCCCAATCTGCTCAATACACTGCTGGAACAAACTTTAGAGTGCTGCAGCTATAAGCAGTAGGAAAGACGGAGCACAACTTCTGAAGGTGCTGCCCAACTGCAGGCAAGGCCTTCGTAATGTCTGTTTCCCTCTTGTGTGGCTCTCTTGCTGCAGAGGTGGCGTGATGCTGGTTCATGACATCAGGAAGAATGAAAGCCGGGTGATTGATTTCCGAGAGACAGCTCCCTTCAGCATCCAAGAAGAGGGTCTCAGGAAGGCGTGGGAAACAAAGGTGTGAGAAAGCCTTTGCTGCTGAGGGGCAGGGTGGTAGCTGGTTAGTAAATGTCTCCATTCATAGAGCTGTGGACCAAGGCTCTGATGGGAACCTTGACAAATTCTGACAAATTTCAACTCGTTGGGGCTTAACCTTATTTTTTTTAAAAAAAAACCTTTCTCCCGTACATTGTTCCATTTACTTCCCATGTAAAGATTTTTAAAATGTATTTACTTGTATTTACAAGGTGTCCGGCATGATTTTGATGGTTGGAATGTGCTTAGAATGGGCAGAAATGATGAGCAGTGCAGAAAAAGCTACTCAAGGAAGGCTTTTTCAAAGTCACCCTCTTTTCAATGGAAACTTAGCCCTCTATTAGTGTTAGGGGTGTTCACCAGGATAGGGTTAGGGTTAGGAAAATGAGGTGTCCTGGCATGATTTTGATGGTTGGAATATGTTTAGAATGGGCAGAAATGATGAGCTGTGCAGAAAAAGCTACTCAAGGAAGGCTTTCTCAAAACCGCCCCTTTCAGTGCTATTTTACCCCTATATTAGGGTTAGGGGAGTGCACCAGGGTAGGGTTAGGGCAGTGGTGGTGAACCCATGGCACGTGTGCCACAGTGGGCACACAGAGCCTTCTCTGTCAGCATGCGAGCCAAGTCACCCCAACATCACCCCAGCAGCCGAGCATTGGATAACAGCACACATAGGGGCCATGCGCATGCTCAGAAAGGAGTAACGGCGCCAGGCGTTGATGTCACGAGCCATGACTCATTACTCACGACTCATTCGCATGGCTGGTCAGTGCACTGCCAAGGGTGGGGGGGAGAGAGAGAGAGAGAGAGAGAGAGAGATCTCATATAACAACTCACAGCCAGTCCTATCTATCTATCTATCTATCTATCTATCTATCTATCTATCTGAGCTTGGACTGGCTGTGAGTTGTTTTTTCAAAACTAAAACCTCAGTTTTCAGATTTTATTGCAGTGTTGGCACTTTGCGATAAATAAGTGGGTTTGGGGTTGCAGTTTGGGCACTCAGTCTCTAAAAGGTTCACCATCACTGCTCTAGAGTCTCCTGTAAGGTTGAAGTAGGAGATCCTGTGGGGCAGCAGCCCCGATCTAAAATTTACAGTCTGTTTAACTAACAAAACTGACATTTGTGGAGCCCTTTACATTTTCCTTTTGTCCTTCACTTTTTATCCAGCCAGGTCTTCTTGTTGGTGTTCCAGGCATGATCAAAGGACTCCATGAAGCACATCAGTCTTATGGGAGGTAAGAAGATTTTCTATCCTTATATACTCCATTGCTCAATTTCATTTGTAAGAGCAAAATATGCATATGATAACAATGTGCTTACATCTGTTCTTTCGCCATGGTTAAGTAAATGGTTGGCACCTGTAGAGCCACTTCATACTTTGCAGTTTGCACAACAACCCAGAATTTGTGAGGATATATGGGGCATATGAGCCATTTCTTGTTTGAATAAAGACCCTGTTCATGGGTTGTTAGTGTGATGTCTGGACCCAGATGCTCTGCGTTGTTTATGGATTCAAAACCCAGAGTTTACCCAGCCACAAACCATTGTTTATCTCTCACTTGTTCAATCCATAAACTTCTAAAGTATCTGGGCTTGGACATCATGCTAGCAACCTATGAACAAGCTTCCGATTCATGATGGAAATTGCTCATGTGCTCTGTGCATCCCTGCAATTGGGTTATTTAACCCATGGGTTATATAACCCATGTTTTGCCACCATTATGTGTGAACCAGTTTCTTAAGGTGTACCTGTAATAGCTATATATGTACATGCAAAAATAAAAATGTGTGGATGAGGCAGACATAGTTGACTGTGCAAGTAAAATTGGTCCAGGGAACTGGAATTGGTCCTATCTTTATGAAGAATACATTGCACACTCAATGGCAAGAATTGCTCTACAATCTAGGAAATGTCCCTAAAGAATACTTCTGATATGAGAATTAGTTTTGACTAAACTGTGCCCTATGCCCTTTCTTAACAATTCTGTAGTAATGATTGTTTCACTGCTGGCACTTCAAGAACAGCACAGCAGGAGAAGTGTAACAAATTCATCAACTTGACTTCCTTTTTAAACAAGGCTTTGCTCAACTACATTTTCAGCATGGTTTACCTTGACTATTATTTGGCCAGTGGATGACTGTTAAATCTTGCCATGTTTCTGTCTCTGCCAGATTGCCATGGAGACAGTTGCTGGGTTTTGCTGCAGATGTAGCCCAGGATGGATTCAATGTCACGCGTGATTTAGGTGAGTGCGTTTCTAGAGCACAAGGTGCCAAGCAATATTATGAGTACAGCATTATTTGACACTGTCAAGGGCAACATTTCTGAAACTACAGACCTAAGCATGCATTCGTAGAGAAAACTTCCATTGAAATAGGTCAGAGCTCCTTCTTACTGGAGGTATTTAGAACTGGGAGGCAGCAGGCCAGCTTTTTCCTTTCCTTTTGCATTCTTCTGCACCAGCATTCTCCAACATGGTGTCCTCCCATATATTTTGGATTGCAATTCCCAACATGCCCAGCTGGCATGGAGCAGGCTTAACTTGGCAGCAAAGTAGGCAGTTAGTGGGCAGGTGTGGAGAGGGAGTTGCACAAACAAGGTACCACCACAGAGAAGTCTCTGGGATACCCAAAGTTGTGCTTCTGCTGAAGAACTTAATATTGGGCATGTTCGGTATACGCAAACTGTAGATGCTTCCAAGGGGGCAGTCTTAATTGATTTCCAAACTGGAATGAACATAAGTGATCACCATTCACTTTCTTCTTGTCTCTTCTGTTATTAGCAATGGCTATCAAAGAAATGAAGGAACAGAATAACCACTCAGATAAGTTCAGAGAGACCTTTCTCCCAGATGGTCAGCCCTTGTTGCCTGGCATGTTTATGAGAAGACCAGATCTGGCTGCTCTCTTAGAGTTACTGGGATCTGGAGGGGTCTCGGCTTTTTACAGTGGAAATGTGACACAAGAAATAATCTCGGAGGTAAGTCAACTCCATTTCCATCTGTGTATACATCTCTCTGTGTGCTTGATGCCAGACATGCACTGCTGTCACATAGGACATGTTTTTGTGCATTAAAAACACCTCGGAAAGGATTGTTCCTAAATTTCAGTTATAAAATTCTATGAGATGGCTTTCAAATTGAATAGCCACTTGTCAGATTTTTACAACAGGAATTCACAGATGACTAATGACAAACACAAAAACATATCAGGATTTTTTTAAAAATGGAGATTATTGATGGGAATCCATCTAATCTTTGATCTTCTTTCTCAAGTAGACAAGAAAGGTAGATTTGGAATTTGGGCTGGCCTTAAAAAAGAGACATCATGGCTGTAAGACAGCGGGTAAGCGAAAGATATTTGCTGTGGCAATCCGGGGTACCCCAGAGGGCCAAATCAGGACACCAGCTAGGCCAGATTTGGTTCACAGGGTTTGTTTGTTTGTTTGTTTGTTTATTTATTAAAATTTGTATGCCGTCCAATTACTTATGTCTCTGGATGGCTTACAGCATAAATAAATTGACGACCCACTCTGGCTGCAAGTTAATAAAATACAATAATAAAATTCAATATTAAAACATATTAAAATATTGATTAAATAAAAAGGTCTTAACCTGGCGCCGAAAAACATATAATGACATTGAGGGTTGAGTTTCTACACCCCCTGCTCTAGATTAAGCAAAACCAGGTGCTCCTTGATAGTCAGGCAGATTGGTATGGCAAGTGTCCTGTAAAGGCAAGAACATAAGAAAAGCCATGCTGGATAATACTAAAGACTCTACAGATGGTGGCAAACCAGCTGCCCACAGGATCCCTTCAGCAGGATGGTGCAAGGCCTCCTCTTGATGAAGCTCCTTAGCAATTGGTATAGAAAGTTTTGAAAACCACTGATATAAAAGAAGGCTGGACCCTTCTGATTTCAACAGTTTTGGGAACCCCGAATGATTCCTTCATCAGAAAAATGTGATGTTTAGCCACCTGAACAGTTCTTTATTGTTCTTTCAGACTAGCATGACATTGCTAGTTTACTGCATGCAAGTACATTGCTGTGTTATTCTATATAGGTCCTTAAATTTGGAGGTACTTTGTCAGAAGAAGACTTTAGTAACTACACTGTCTTGGTGGAAAACCCAGTCCATACAGTATATCAAGGTAAAATTGTTGCATCATTCACATATATTAGTCTCTCTTTCTGATGCCAAGGAGCTGGTCAAATGTATCCTACAACGTTAGATAAGAAAAGTATGTTTAAGAAGCAAAGCCTTTTCTTTCTTTCTTTCAGAATAAGAGGAAGCTTTAGCTGCATTTTGTAACTGCTGTCAAAAATTAAACATGTTGGACATGATGGGCAGCAGTAGAGGTCAGTGCAGTTACAGAAGGGTCTGCAAGCTGTTTTATCAAACAGCAGCTGTGCATTGGGGCAATATAAATACCAGTCGATAGAGATCACAGGGACATTTTGGCAGTGATACGTTGGTGCTGCCCCAGTTGGAAAAAATGCAAAATCCCAGATCCAATGAGCTGCTTGATTTATGCAAGGAGCTTGCACAAGGCCTGTGCACGTTTCTGGTCTTGTTTTTTCCTTTGAATACTTGATCCCATTGCAGAAGCAGTTTGCCACAAAACAAACTGCAGTTCAGGTCATGTTGAGAAAAAAATACGACAGTTGCAGTCCATCCTATACACACTTAACTTGGAGTAAGTGCTATAGAACTCTCAGTGGACCACTATAGAATCGAGGTACATTTTGCTTCAAAGAACAGAATGTTGTTGAACAAAACAAAAATCCAAACTGTTTTTTGGATGCTTCTGGCCATGAGTTAGGAATCCCAGTTTGTCTGCTACTGCTTCTTTCACCATAACAGGTCATCTTGTTCTCAGTCCTTCACCTCCACACGTGGGTCCTGCTTTGATCACAGCCCTGAACATCCTAGAAGGCTTTAATATCACCAGCCAAGTAGCCAAGGAAAATATTCTCCATTGGATAACAGAGGTAAGATCTGCTGAGTGGAATATCTTGGGTTTTTTTTAAACAAGAGTGTGGTACGATTCTTTTTCCACAAAGAAGTTAGTAAGGATCAGGAGAAAAGAAACTATAAATCGGTCCTTCGTCTGTTCAGCCACCCACTCTGGCCAGGCATTCACCCTTGCTCACCTGCTCCCTTGTTCCTGTTGCCTTGTGCTTCAGTTGTGGGGCTCTTGCAAGCAGGGGACCCTACTATGGGAAGCCTGCTGACCTCCCATGGGAGTCCTGTGGCTGGACCACAAGGCAGGAGTGGGGGAGTGTGGCCAACTGAGCCAGAATGGGCAGACCCAGCCAGTAAGGCCAATGGCCAGCAGTCAATGTTAAAAAGAGCTGCCCAAAATCTCTGGAGGGCACCAGGTTGTCTGGAAGGCTGCTCTTAAATGTTTGCACTAATTTATAGTCACTTAGGGCACAATCCTATGCATGTTTCAACACAAAAAGTGCTAGAAAAATGTTCTAGGACTCCTAGTCCTTGTGAAACCAGGTTCCATGAACCTCAGGCTATGAAAACTCATTAGCCAGTTTCATTTTTAATAAGGTTTAGATGTGCTAAAGTTGCTGCTTTCAGTTTATAATGTGCTATTAATGGGGACTATTTAAACTAGACAAATTTTTCCTGGACACATGAAATTCTTCGAACTAGTGTCCTACTGTCTTCTGATCCCCCCCCCTCTCTCTTTTTGTCCATCATGAAAAGCAGTTGACATGTATTAGCTAAAAGCACCTCCTTGTAGCATATTCCTTAATGTACAGCAAATGCTGCCCTTGGTAAGGCTTGACAATGACTTTGCACTGTCATCTACTACTACGAAGTTGTACTATCTGATACATGATTGGAAATTTGTCTAGTAGGAAGAATAAAAAAATTCCTGCTGCAGAAAATGGGGGTCATGCTCAATGGATTCCCCATAACTTTCCTGGAGGGGGCTGGTTTGTACAATGTCCTGTGGAATTCCTCCAAAATACGTAATATAAATAAATATTGCATATGGCAGGAGTTGGCAACCAGAGTTCTTAAAAGAAGATTGGACTCAGATCTGAAATGAACCGTGGCAACATTCTGAGGCAACAGGGTAATATTTTGGCAAGGAACTTCAAGGGACACTCCAGTGTGAAATTTCTGAAGTAGGATTTATTAGTAAGCTTGAGTCTGTTGGTTTAGGCCTCATACACTGTAATGGTCTCCTTTCCTACTCAGGTGTAAGATTAGCACAGCAGAGCCACTGTTGCTTCTTTCTAGCTTGACCTTCAGGATAGAAAGGGTAAAGCACATGGTTTAGACAGAAAGGAAGCTGTACCATCTTGCTCCAGGGGCAAATGCCATTCATTTGGGTTGCTTTCCTATTCTGGATTCTGTTTCTTCCTTTCTGCAGACATTAAAAGTAGTGCTGGCACTGGCTAGCAGCTTGGGGGACCCATTCTATGATGCATCCATTTCTCATAGTGTGGAAGACATGATGAGGTAAGTTTAAAGGTATAGCACATCATTATTTTCATGCTGATATACCTGTGCAGTTAATTAAGAGATGGCCAATTTTAGTTTCCCTTGACAACTTACCTTTTGACAGTTGTCAAGATGAACCAAAGAAGGAAAAAATATTGGAGCATAGTTTGGACAATGTCCAGGGTTGGTACCAGCTGTGCCCTGGCACACACAGGCCATTATCCCAAATGAGGCCTCCAATTCCCACGCTTGTTTTATTTATTTGTTCATTCATTCATTAGTTCATTAGATTTACATCCCACCTTTTTCTTTTTTAAAGAACTCAAAGCAGCTTACATAATCTTCCTCCTGCTCTCAATCTTATCCCCACAACAACCCTGTGAGGTAGGTTGGGCTGAGAGCCTGTGACTGGTCCAAAGTCACCCAGTTGGTTCCATGGCTGAGCAGGGGCTAGAATCCAGATTGCCTTACAGACCCTTAGTCCCAGACCCATACTCTTAATCACTGCACCACCCTGGCTCTCAGTGTGCAATAGCTGTGCAACAGTGAACTTCTGCAGCTGTGCATGAGAAGCTATTTTTAAAAAGAGTGAATATGTTTGTCCATTTCCCTCCACAAATATATATGAAAGGTTCTATCAGCCCCTCCAAGGTGTAGCCCGAGCACTTTGAGGGACTGTCAGCAGCTTCCAAAGCAGGGATTACAAAAGCAATCTCAGGCCAAATATATATTAAAAAATTAAATTAAAAAAATAAAATGAGAATGCAGATCTGGGACTGCCTGTAACCTTCTGACATCCAACTGATTGCAGAGGCAAGATTAACATCCATGCTCCCCTCGTCCTCAGAAACATTTCGACAGCCAGTTTCCGCTTCCATCAGTCTTCCAACTTCAGGGCCTCAAGCCGAGGGCAGAGGGAAGGCCTCTAAAAGTGGAGAACCCGCTGTGACCCTGGAAGGCTTTTCTAAGGTTGCAGCAGGTTTTCCAGCTTTGCCTGTGGCTGGCCAGACAGCATCTACCTGCCACAGGATTGTACCTTAAGTGAAAAAAAGCTGCCGCAAGCAGAATTCAGCTTGCAACTGCAGTGGAGGGTGGAGAGTCAAGGCAGCCCTGCCACCGTGTTCTCTGGGATACTGGCAGGAAGCCCAAGAGGGAAGGAGGAGGAGTGAGGGAGCCAACAGCTCACAGCGGGACTCACAGCCTGTCTGATGCGGTAGAGGTCCTTTGGCTAACAGCAACCCACTGTGACTTACTGCCATGGTAGGCTGGTATGACCCATGAACATTCCCAATATGACATAAGCAAACAACACTGACGTAAAACTGTGGCAAAATGCATAAATTAAAGTTTTAAAAGACCATGGAATAAAGCATGCACATTGTTTGTCATTGTCTCATTAGGAACATTTTTGGGATGTACTTTGTTTCATATATAAATCTTTCCCTTGCTCTGTTTTTAAAATTGTTTTTCCTGCCTCTTCTCATCAATGCAGTAAGTCCAAGGCAAACCTCCTGCGTCAACAGATTGATTCTCAGCCCTTTCCCTCTGAGCTTCACATCCCACATTTTCCCATGGAAACAGGACCCTCAGCTAGCCAAGTCCTCGTCATGGGACCTGATGACTACATAGTTGCAGTTGTAAGGTAAACATTCTTATTTGGAGAGGATGCGGTATGGTGAGCATCACTAGGGAAGGAATCAACAGTAAAACTGCAAACACCTTACTGCCCTTATATGAATCTGTGGTGCATTCACACTTGATGTTCCCACACTTGTGAAGTTCTCATCACTGCACCTAAACAGTATCCTGTAGAGTTGGAAGAACTGCAGACAGGGGAAACCAAAATGTTCAAGGGCCTAGAACAACTCCCCAATGCGGAATGATGACAACATCTGAGGTTTTTTAGCTTAGATAAAAGTCAACTAAGGTAAAGTGTATACAATTATGCATAGTGTATACAAGTGTATACAAGTGCATAAAAGTGTATATACAATTGTGCATAGTATAGATTTTTCTTCCTCTCTTATAGTGTCTAGGATGATCCAATCAAACTGACTGATGGGAGATTTAGGACAGATGAAAAGAAGTACTTCTTTACACAGTGCATAGTTAAACTATTCTGTACTACCACAAAATGTAGTGATAATCTTAATTTGGATGGCTTTAAAAAGGGATTAGAGATGGAGGATACTGCTAGCAATGACCACTAGTCATCATGGATATATAATCCCTGTAGTCCTAAAGTGGGCAACACACAATCCACAATCCATATATGTCCCCCTGCCACAGCCTTAAGCACAGCTGTACTTAAGCACCCCTGTACTGGTGAAATTCAGTAATATCAGCAAAAAACGTGTTGGTTTGCTACCAACTTCCAGCTGCAAACCACTACAGAGACTCAAAGGGATAAGATTTAGCTTACTTTCAAGTTAAATTTGGCTCTTTGAGTCTTTGCAGTGTTTTCCATTGAATTTTAGTGGCTAACCATGACTGGAGGGGCAGGGGGACAGTGACAGTAACAGGAATGGAGTCCCTGCAGAGGCTGGGGGAATGGAAACTAGTTTCTGGATTGCCCAAAGTTGCCTGCCCTTAATTTAGATTATCATACATTTTTCTTTGTGTTTCTTTTTAGTTCCTTGAACCGGCCATTTGGAAGTGGAATAATGACTTCTTCTGGGATTCTTCTGAACAGTCAGATGCTGGATTTCTCTTGGATGAATGAAACAGAGAACCATTCCTCTCCCAGTTTGGTAATAAATTATGAAATCAATCTGATGGAAATAATACAGGGGGAAATAACTTTTTGCAAGTGTGGTGAAATGTATTAATGAAATGTAAGCATGCTCAAGATAATTAAGATCTAGGAACATCTAATTTGCTGTGCTGTCATTTAAAACATGTATTATTAAAAAATCATTCTCACAGAGGGCACAGTGGGCTAGATTCAAACTTGCTTTTACTCAGAGTAGACCCCAGAGTAGATCTGAGCCATAAGTCCCATTTACTTCACTGGGCTGACTCTAGATATGATTAATAACCATTATTTCTGGCTGGAGAGTAATTGAGATTGACCTTTCCAAAAATTGTCCCTGGATAGCTTCCTCCTCTAGAATGAACAGGAACGCTTCTACACGGCATCATTCCCCTGTGCCTGAAAGATTTCGCTGCATTCATTGTATGAAAACTGATCTAAATGTCCAGGAAGGATGTGGTAAAATCCTCCAGCACTCAAAATACACGTACTGCTAGGTTTTGACCAGGGCGATTTTTAAGCAGACCTCCACATGCATTTGAAGTGGAAAAGTGTGTGTCCAATTTAAATGTACTAGCCACCCCAGTATTAGTCATTCCATCTGAAAAACAAACAACACTACTCACTGCACATACATACATTGTTTTGCACAGGCAAAGGTCAGTCTAGGACTCAGCCTGGAAGTCCCCTTCAGGCCAGACCACTTGATTTCGCAGGAGGTGCTGCATATATTTTGTAAATGGCCTTAGTGCAGTGAAGACTGTCAGATGTGATGTGACCTTAATAGGCACTGTGACTGATAACCTATTCAGACCTGTTATTTGATACTTAAATAATGGTCCTCACATAAAGTCAATACAAAGGAATAGGGCTGAGAGAGTATGGTAGGGAGAGCCCCAACTGATATATTTAATAATGTTTAGGAATTTTTTCCCCCTGCAGAGGAATTTTATTCAGCCTGGGAAAAGGCCTTTGTCTTTCTTACTGCCCACTGTTGTCCGGCCATCAGAAGGGATGTGTGGGACTTACCTTTGTCTGGGAGCCAATGGTGGAGATAAAGCTTTGAGCAGCATCACACAGGTGAGTTATGAATTTTGCAAGGTGTTTGCACAGAACATCCATTATTTCGGGATGAAGGACTATATCTCCAGGACTGCCCATGCCACACCCCAGGGTGAGAGAAGCAACCTAATTCGCATGGTTCCCCAGAGCGAAGCACCATGAGAAACAGGAGTGATTAGAAAAGAGGTGGGAAACTTTTGACCCTCCATGGCCTACAACTTCCACCAGCCCTAAGAAGCATGGTCAAAGGTATGGACCATGAGAATTGTATGGCTAAATATCTGGAGTGCCACAAGCGTAAAAGAAGGCTAGAATTGATGACTAGATTTGCAGCAAGGCTTTAAAACATTTTAAAAAGAGCCACAGTATGTTAACAATTGAAAAGCAGTTGAAGGAAGTAAGTGTCCCAGTTCTTAGTCATCTGCTGCTCCTGCTGCAATACTCAAAGCTGAGGTTTTCCATCCCAGGGGTTGTTGCTCATGATGTCTAAATCAGATCTCAGGACTGTTTGGGAGGCAAATAATCCAGAATTTGAACCCAGGGTTCCTGACCTCCCTGGGTTGCTTAGCTCCACCTGGCAGCATTAGAATCAAGTAGACATCTGAGAATGAGCTCATTCACTTGCTCAATTGCATGAACTCGGCCTCTGTCTCCTTGTCTTCCAGTTTCTATGCCTCCAAATTTGCTTGGCCACTTCCTGCCATTAGTGCATGTTTTCTTTTGTTCCCCTGGCCTTGTGAGGTTTTGCCCCACTCTAGGTTCTTCTTTCCTTTTCCGGCTTCATGTCTCTACCACACATTGTTTCCTTGGTTCCTTGCTTTCCAACTGTCTAGAAGGGTTCATTCCACAGCTTTCTTTCTTCCATATTAATTATCATGTTATATAGTGAGCCTACCTAGCACATCTGCTTTCCTCACCTTTTAACCTCAGTTTCCTGCCTCCTCTGCCTTTTCATCACCCTTTCTTCAGTTTCCATTCTTGCAGTGTATTCCTTAATTTATACTTTGCCAGAGGGCCCTTCCCTTTAGTTTTTCTCTCTTCTGGGACCTCTTTCCAACTCCTCTTCCTGCCCCACAAAGCTATTGCCATCTCCAAAGCCCGTCTGATATTTTAATCTCAGACTGACTTCTCTTCCTTTACAGACACTGATACTTTCCTTCCCAGGATGGGTAGAATATTCTTAAACATTTTGTGTACATCATGCCAACGCAGCTTGTCAATGTCAGAGGCTTCACCATCAGAACCACAACACAATGCAGACTGTATCCTAACCCCGCCCCCTGACTATCGATTGCCATGCAACCAATGACCTGGTCAAATAGGCTTTTTCAAATTATGTATGCATTGGGGGTGGGGAGAATCATAATGACAGCAACAAATGTCATCCTCTTGGCCCAGGCAGTGATGCTCACAGGTTGGAGCTTAGTGGGAGCCTGCCTGCACAGGACATGGGCAGATGCAGCCTCTAACACCGACTTTTACAACCTGGCGCACTCCAGGTGTTTTGGATTTTGACTGCAATCAGCCTGTGCTGCATGGACAAGGGCAGGAATGCTGGGAGTTGCAGTCCAAAACATCTGAAGTATTACCAGCCTTTTGGGTGGGGAAGTTTGCCCTAACCTGAGGAAGCCGAGCATGCCTGGAGATGAGACTAGCTGCTCTAACCTATCAAGATTCTATTCCTGACAAGCTGTCAGAATGTTTAATATTTTGATCTTCTTTGACAGGTTTTAGTAAATGTTTTAACATATAACAAAAACCTGAGTGAGAGTTTGTCATTAGGCCGACTTCATCCTCAACTTCAATCTAACATCCTGGAAGTTGACAGTAAGTATGAATTTCTGTTACTATGTTTTATTTTACATGCACAATGGAGTGAAATTTTCTAAGGCCTCTATGATTACTCTGTAATCTTTCTCAAATAAGCATAGTTCATTAAAATTTACAGTGCAGTCACAGAACAATAGGAGAATCTCTTATCTCAGACCACACTACAGCAGGTGAAAGTGAAACTGTATGGACACAGGAAGAGAGGAGATGAAAGCTCAAATTACGGACTTTTTGCTGTTATTTTACTACATTCCCTATCAACACCACAGCTTATTTAATTCAAACAGGATCCCCCTACCCATGGGAAGAAAGGGTCGATCCAGAGATCTGACTTCTATGTGCACCTATTGGCATGTGGATCAACTGACTGATGCAAGTAGAAAAAAATACAGATTGGTGGGGATCATATCCAACAGGGGTGGGCAACACATGGCCTGCTCCGCCCTGGGCTATTTTGTGCTCCACCACCCGAGGCATCACCAAATTGCTATCAAAATAGTGTGGCAGCCCAATGGTAGCAAGTTTGGTTTGCACGGAGGTGGGGGTGGCTGATGGATTCTGATGGTCAGAAACTGGTTTCAGACCTTCTGAGGGTGCCATCCCTGGTGTACACAGATGGACCCAGACCATGTGAAGCTGCCTTCGGAAACTTTTGTTGGTGTAGAAGTGGCAACTGCAGTTCTTAATGGAGTTCATTTTTCAGATCTATAACGCCAATGCTACAGTGTCTTCATTGACTCTCAGGTTATTTCTGAACCCAATGCAAAGTGCTCTTTAAAATCTTAACAGTTTTGGGCAATCCACATATAAAATTTTTTATTCTGTTACTACTGATGTTTGTTTGCTTACTTGCTGTTTTTTATTGGTTGCTCTTACTGTTGCATTGCCATTTATATTCTGCTTTATGAGCTGTGAGCTGCCTTGAATGTCCTTGATGGTTGGAAGAAAATTTTGATCTATCACTCAGTGTGATTCACAACCACATTAGAGTGTAGATTAAGCTGTGCCCTTCCATCCATCTTGCAACATCAACTTTACCTGCTCTCCAGCCATATCACATTTGGTTATCCCCAGCTAGTTACACACAACTTGCTAGAAGGGATCTAAAATGATGCTTTCCATGAAAATAACCCTTTCTAAAATTTCCCCATCAGGTGAGTTTCCTGAAGAAGATATCAGCTACTTTACAACCAGGGGCGAATCTGTGAATAAAGTAGAGGTCCTCTCTGTAGTCCATGGAGCCAGAAGAACGAACAACTTCATAATTGGTGTGAAGGATCCAAGGAGTATGGATGCAGCTGGAGCTACAATATTATAGCAATTCCCACATGGGTTTGTTATGAAAAAAGGCTTTTTCCAAAATACATTGTGCATGTTCCCAAACAGCCCCTTTATCATTCCCTGTAATGTGGAACAAACAGTGATTTTGTGGGTTTCTGCATTGCTAAACAGACCCCTCTGCACTTCTGTACTCAAACAATGCAGCAAGGAAGGCTGATAAAGGCACAATACAGCCCTTAGAATTTTTGTTCGTTATTATGATCTTGAGTTATAGGAATCTCAGGCATTATTATATTAGAAGCACAGGGAATAAGTTTAATTTCAACATCACCTTGTCTAAGATTGATTCTGGCCATTTGATGCACAACAGTGAGATATTTCTAAATTGAGCACTTGGGAGCATTTAAGAAGCAAAACACCAGATATGTACAAATGTATTTTTTGAGTGGCAGTGGCAGATTCACTGCAGTGTAAATACACATACTTCTGTTCTGGGGCAAGTTCTTTAGAAAAACACACATAGTTCTACAGGTTATAGGTTTCAGTTTGAATGGCAAGGATACATTTGTGGAGGCCAGTGCCTATTGGCTGATGCCTTGGATGCCATTGATTTCTCTCCCACCCCCTTTTTTAGAAGAAATTTTAATTTTAAAATTAATGTTTTTCCTTGGAAGGCAAGGATAAATGTATTTGTGTTACTATCTTTTTAATCAGCAAAGAGTATTCCTGACTCACTAGATGAGTCTAACAGCTGTTGCCACATCTGACCTCATCATCTAACTTTCAGCTTCAGGATGATCTGGGTTCACACACAGTGCTAGTGCTCTTTACTTGTTTTCACGAAGTAAGATAACAAATGGCTCAACCCTCAAAGCACTCTGTCAACCCAGGTTGTCCTCAAGACTGGACAAAATAATATTTCTGTGTCAAACATATTTTTTTTGCTATTTTAGTAATCATATAATCCCTCCTTTCCTAATTGCTCCTTCCAAGGAGATGGATTGAGAATAAGAAGGAAGGTTCAAACCTCAGACAGTTCTTGAATATTCCCTGTTAGCCAAGTGATTTGTACCAGCATACCTCTTCTAATAGTATCAGCTCCTATTCAAGTATTAATGTAAATTTTTATAACCTTTCTTTTTGACTCTGGGCCCCAAGGGGAGAGGATGGTCTCTCCTGCTTCTTTTAGTGGCATCATCTCAGTGAAACCTTGATAGAGTCTTCAGCATGTTGTGGGTACCAGTTCAAGTCTTTTAAAACAATACAAGCTCATGGTCTAAGTCTGTCATTTTCAAATAATTAACCTTTGCAAAATAATGGGCAGCACATGTGGGGAGAAGACTCCAAAGATGAAGTTTCAGGCTATTCATTCATATTCACGATCTTTTGAGCAATGTCCCCATTGCTTGAGTCATGCTGTGGGGCCATTTGTTAAAATTGGCAGCTGTCGATTTCAGTTAACATTCTCAAGTATATGTCAAAAGCAAAAATAATTAAGACTATATTGCCATATTGTAAAGCTTAATTGTTGATACAATCTTTTTTCCTGCTATATTAATAAGTTGTAATCTTAACTGACTTGTAGCTGACCCTCTTGCAAAGTTTATCTCAGTTTCCTTCATTAATATGAATTGGAGTTTTTACAAAGTGTCCTGATACAACCCTCCAGTTCTTGAAAAGTTTAGTTATATGAATTACTAGCAATCTTGCTTTCAACATGCTGAAGAAAACATAACTTTCTGTTTCACTGATATCCAGGTCAAAAACAAAATATGAGGCTGTATAAAAGATTTAAAATTAGTTGGACTGTAGTTTACGGATAAAACTGGAAGCCTATTACCCAAAGAATTAAAACCTTCCATCCTCTTTGGAATGCTGTCATTGATATCAGTGAGGCTACACCAAGATTTTTGCAAAATATGTTGATATGTATGTATCTAGATATTCTACAGTTGCCTCTAAATCACTTTTCACTGGGATGATTCAGTGAAGTCTAAAAACAAATGCCACTTGTTAAAACTAGAAGCAAGTACTGAAACAGACACGAGCTGTTACTCCAGATTGTTTCCACATTGCTCTTATTGTCCTAAATGTATTATGTCAAAAAATCTAGAAAAATAGGTCTACACTGGGATGCTTTTGAAATGTATACAAATATTTAAAGTCTCTGTGTGGATCAAGGGAGCACAACTAATGGCATTCAGATATTTTGGTCGACAGCTGCTGTGGGAGCCTGATCCTTGGCTACACTGACCAGAGCTGATGGGAGCTGTAGGCCAAAACATCTGAAAACCCAGAACTTGCCCAGCCCTGCTGTACAATTTTGTTCACATGAAAATCACACATTGAGTCACTGCATAGAGGCAGGGAGCAAGGTCAGAGCATTAGACTTGCTACTAGGCATTCTGCTGAAGGTGCACATTGAGCGCTCCAGATGTCTAGCTGCAGGAATCTCGGCTCTGACCATGTGACCAGAGACCCTCTCTTTTGCGGTGGCCCAGTTGTGTTGGTCGAGCCTATGTTTGTACAGTTCTATGTGCATCTGATGAAAATGCAAAGAGTGGCTGTTGGGGAGAGACAGGTTTTATTCCCCTCTTTCCTCTCTATATGTTCACTAAAAGTGTGAGGAGTGCTTCTAAATACAAAAATACCCCACTTAATTCTATATCTTCTAAATAAGAGAAGTGGAAAGAATCTGACTTCAATTTCTTTGAAAAAAAAAACATATATCTATGCATAGCTTCCTTTCAGTGAGCATCTGAACACCACACATTTCACTGCATTGAAGAACTGAAAAACATACAAATATTTTCCTAGTATTATCAGCATCTAACTTCTGCTAGTTCCCTCCATGGTATCATGGAACCCATGGCTATGTACATAGTACATAATGTATATCTGCTGACAGCTGTCTTATTGCCCAGTGAATTGGAAAATGATGAATCCCCTCTTACTCATGTGCCATGTTTACATGGTTCAAAAATGTCTTAATATGAAGAATGGCCCCTTATAGGTAGAAGGGATGTCAGTGAGCTAACACACTACAGGAATCATCACTTGAGAGCACTTACCATTTGAATGTTAATTGTCAGTGGATGATCTCAACATGGTTTACACAATCATTCACTGTTTTAAGGGCTCATCCACTTCTTATGTGTATCTGTTCACCTATTGAAGATTTTCAATTTTTTATGACAATGCTAATATCAGTCAACCTATATGTTCAGCACAAAATGTCTGTCTATACAAAAGCCAGTTCCCAGCATCAGTTTCATCAGGATAGGGGTGAACAACCTCAAGCGCAAGGGCTGAATGCAGCCCTCCAGGAGATCCCAGGTGGTGCTTCCTTCTTTCCCTTGGCCACTGATCATTAGGTAGCTTCCTGGGTTTTGGGCAGTGTGTCCCTTATTCTAAAAGTGTGAATTACTGGCAGCAAAAGATTTACATTAAAATAGGTAGGTATGCTTTGTTTTTTGCTTGATTCTTTTTGCCTTTGGCCTTATCCACAACTCAAATGTAGCCCAGAGAGCTGCACCAAAACTGAATTCAGATTCCACCACTGCTCTAGGATGACCAAAGCTAAATCTCAGAACTATTTTGATGAGGTTTGTGCAGGTAAGGAGAGGTTCAGGGCTAAATAGTATTCTGGGATTTCATCGGTGGGAGAATCTACCTCCTGCCCCCAAGGGTAAGTTTAGCCTTCAGCAGTCTTGCTCTTGGGTGCCATTCACTATTTTATGAAGAAAAGGGAAGCACTCCATTTGGGAACAACCTGCCCAGCCCCCAGGCACTGAATCACCCAGCGTCCCCCTCCAGGAGACCCATGGCAAGGTACAATGCGTCTTTTCACACATCCCCACAGGTCCCTGGTATACTGACCACTCAATCCATGCATTCTCACCTGCTTGATATCTGCACTGATATCTCCCACTACAGCAAAGCTTCAGAAAATGGGCTGAACGGTGAGGCAATAAAAGATGGCTGGGAAACCTCAGGCCTGGAAACTAAGCCCAGCCCTCCTGGGGTCCCAGCTGGACACTCTGGTGTTTCCACCTGGCTGTGGCATCTTCCTCTGCCTCCCCGCCCAAGCACAGATCATTTGAACATTTCCTTGCTTTTGTGCAATTTTCGCTATTCTAAAAGGTTCTCTCTAAGGCTTGGTTACCTCCAGTAAGAGTGTTCAGCTAGAACATTCTGGCATTTTTTATATTTTTGGCCCCACCCATTTAGTTTTTGGCTCCAGCCCCTTGTCTACAGTCCTACCCACTGCATCCACTGAGAACATCTCCAGAACTGATTTTGGCACTTGTGCAGAAAGATTTTCCTCACCTCTGCACTCCAAGATGTTGTGAGATGTTAAGGGCTAGGCAGGCCAGCTCAAGACCCTCCCAGAGCATGGCACCCTCAACTGAGTCATCTTGTCCTCATCTCCAGCAAGTATCACGCTTATGCCAGTGGCAACCATGCCCACAGATCAGCACAGATGGGCTTTTGCATGCCACTGAAAGTGATGCATGTTAGAAAGAGCTGATCTGAGTGAGCTGTGCAAGTGGGCATAGCTTTTTTGCATTTGGTGGCATGCTGGAAATGGATACACTGACAATTTGAGAGGAGGCCTGAGAGGTTTGTGAGATCTGACCCTGAGTACGTGCAAAATAGGGCTTTTGTCGCAAGTCATCCCGCAAACCTGCCCAGCCCACTTTGACAGCTAACGAGAATGCAGTAGTATCTGTGATGAAAAGAACAAGGTGAGGTTGGAAACTCCCATGTCAGCGTGGTTTCTCATCCATTGCATCTTGTTTCAGCTACATAGAAGTTCTCTGTGGTACTCCATGGCGGTGAACCTATTCTAGGGATGGAGCTCAGCACCACAGATAGTTCTGATATAGCTTAAAAGGAAAGCTGTGATGGATGAGGAGCCCCGCTGATACAGGACTCTCCAGCCCTCACTATTCATCACTGAGCTGAAGAGTTCTGATTATGGCAGTTTTACAACACACACACACACACACACACCACTGTCATCATCAGAATATTTGTTAGAAAATCAGCTTTCCTCATAAGTGTCCACTCCTGCCCTACATACACATTTACACTTTGCTGAAGAAACCACATAGCAGGAAATACTGTCACTGTTTCTGCCATGCGTGTTAGCTTAAATGTATGCAGGATTGCTCACATTTAGAGCAGAATCAGTGAAATAAATGGATTTTGGTTGTTATTGCTGCTGTTATGTGCCATCAAGTTGTCTCTGACTTATGGTGTCCCTATGAGAGAAAGCTCTCCAAAATGTCCTATCCATGACAGCTCTTTGAAATTCAGAGCTGTGGCTTACTTTATGAAGTCAATCCAGGTCATATTTGGTTTTCCTTTTCTTCTTCTCCCTAGCATTCTGGACTTCAGTTAGCTATGACTAATTTGAATCCCATTGATACAATGGTTCTGTTCTAAGGATGAGTAAAACTGGATCCAATCCCAAGTGTCTGCACAATAACAGAAAGGCTGGTGTGCAAAGGCTGCACCTACTTAGATCAATACATTTCACAAATGTTACTTCCTGATAGATCTTTGATCACCGATAAAGGAGGGCTTTTGGATAACCACTATGGATTGTAAGTAGCTGATCAATTGTTCTATAGATCATGCTGTTCTCCTAGACAGGCAGAGAAGGAGTTAATCCACTGAGTCAGATTACCTGCTCTGCAATTCAGATAATCATGTTAATGTATAAATACTTGCTATGCAATGTTGAAAAATGTGTTAGGGCAGAATCTTATGCATACTGGGAAGAAAAAAAGTCCTGTAATGCCCAGCATTCCCCAGCCAGCATGCCAAATGCCAGAAGTCTCAGGACATTTTTTCTGTCTAAATATGCATAGGATTGTGCCCTTAAAAGACTGTGTCCTTTGGAAAAAGGGATATATAAGAACAAAAGGGAAGAAAGGCAGAAGGGGAGCAAAGAAGAAAAAACAAGAGGAGACAAACAGGCTGGTCCCTCATGCAGGAATGGCAATTTACTGGGCAAAGGTTTCCAAAGGTCTCAGAAAGCTTTCAACCATTTGACTGATAGCAACTTTTTGTTAAAATATCATGTGTTTTCCATCCCTAATAAAGACTTTCCAGCACAGATTGGCCCCTGGTCTTAGTCTTGAATTGCTCATAAGGGAAAGCCCAGGTCAGGGGCAAGCAATGTACTTTGCTTGCAAATAGTCCCAGGTTCTGTCCCTATTTTCTCCTGGTAAGGTAGGAGAACACTCCTTTTTGAAATTGCAGGGAGCCTCTGATAGTCAGGGTAAAGGTATACAACAGAGTCCTTTAGAATCATACAGTTGGAAAGGGTCTAGAAGGCCATCAGGTCCAAGCCCCTGCTCCATGCATGGCTCAGGTATCCCATTCAGTTTTCAACCAAGCCTGACCCTGCTTAGCTTGCAAGATTGGGCAGCATCAGGTACCTCAGGCTACATGGAAGCTCAGAGACCTATATGAGCCAATCATCTGACAAGATATAAAATATCTTAGCTTTGGAAAAGCAAAAGAACATGGTGGGAGAATTGATGCAGGAAGTACTTGTTCACACAACACATAGTTAAACTATGAACTGTGCTGCCACCAGATTGGATGGCTTTGAACAGGGATTAGACAAATTCACGGATGATAAGGCTATGAATGCCTGCTAGTCATGATGGTTATATTTTTCCAATCTAACACTGGAATCAGTCTTCCAAATCTGGTACCCACCAGATGCTTTGTATCCAACTTCCCTCTGTTCCAGTCAGCATGGTTAATGCTCAGGAAGTTGGGAATTGTAGTACAAAACATTTGAAGGGCACCAGGTTGTGGAGTACTATAGCTAAATGAGCTCAGAATT